TCGCTAAACCGATGAAGAAAACGCTAGAGCTGCTCGGATGGGATGTTCTACCCCATCCGCCGTATTCATCAGACATTGCTCCTTCTGATTTCCACTTGATTCGATCCATGCAGAATCACCTTTCTACCCAGCACTTTAGTTCTTTAGAAGATATCCAAAAATTGTTCGATTCATGGATAACCACAAAAGACGAGTCGTTCTTTCGCCGAGGAATCCGCCTTTTACTAGAAAGATTTTACTAGAAAAAGTTGTAGCTTGTACGATGGACAATACTTTGAATAACGTGTACTTATTACTTTGTTTCGAAATAAACGTTCATTTTCAGCCAAAAAATTCTTAAAAATTAAGTTTAATACTCAATAGAATGTGAGTCCGCCGTTGAAACCAACTCATTATTTAGAACAAAATGGCGAATCGCGGGGACACTTTCAACGAGAGAACTGCCGCGAGGTGAAGGCGAGAGAAGCTGATGAAAAACGCGAAGAAAAAGCACGCAGCAGGGTATCAATCGAATGAGAGTGGCTGTCTCGTTCTCTCTGAATAGATTCGCTTTGAGGCAGTCGAGTAAGTCGGGGCAGTCGAGGCAGTCGGGCTTCTCTCTCTCTCTCTCTCTCTCTCTCTCTCTCTCTCTCTCTCTCTCTCTGTCTCTGCAAATTACTGTACTACTACGGTGGGGTTAAATTTAAGTCCATTCGCATGAGGGTAAGAGTTTATAGAGCGAGAACCAATTACACATTTGCGTGATGTCGCAAAGAGGATTCAATAACGGGCGAAAGGAAGAAGAGGGAGCTCAGCATTACCGTCGCGTCCGGATAAATCGCATTGCGCGTTTCTGCCGTTGCCGGTCCCTCTCTTGGTGGGTCCACGCCGCGCTCACTGTGCCGGAAATTTCAGCATTGGCGATTCTTAAACGAAATTCGGCAAGACTGGAGCAAGGCGCGACACTCGATGAGCCAGCGTGTCCGCGAGCTCACCTTTAGTAACCCCCATCGATCGATGGGATTGTACAAGCGTGGCTCGGCTTTTGAGAGCCGCCTCCGAGATAAGAGGTGAGACGATGATCGCTTCTGGAGGATGGCAGAAAAGAAGAAGAACAAGGAGGAGGAGGAGGAGGAGGAGGAGGAGGAGGAGGAGGAGGAGGAGGAGGAGGAGGAGGAGGAGGAGGACGAGGACCGTCGGTTTCGGCGGCAAAGCGCAGTCCGGCAACGAAAGACAAATAGAGCGAAGAACGCGAGCGAAAAGGCGAAGTCCCGGCGATGAGGACGCGGGATGCAGTTGCAGCAGTACGACACGTGCCCTTCGTCGCCCTTCGTCGCCCCACGTCACACAACGGTGTGTATACACGTATTTGACGTCACGTTTTATTCCGTCTCGTGAGCGCGATCGACGCGACCGCCGTCCACGATCTATAAATGGCACCCGCTAATGTTTCGCGGTGCGCGCCCTATGAAAACGCCCGCCGACGTGTGTGGCTTAATGATAGAGTGCGGAATAATCCGCCGTTGCGGAGGAAACTCGCCAACGAGCGCTCGTTCGTCCTCGTTACGGCGGGTCACAGAATCCTGCGGTTACATCGACATCGGGATGTCGTCCTCGATACGCGTACCGCGTCATTTTTCACTTCATTCCATTTTGCTCATTAACGAGCGAAAACATTTCCTTTTGGCGCAGAGACGAAGTGAGAAACGAGAGAGAAACGAAGCAGGCGCGAAGCAGGCTTCTAACACTGAAATATAAATAACAAAATTTGCAAGTCAATTAGTTTCACACGAAGGTCGCGCCAGCGAGCGACGACAATTTTGCCGCGCGTCTCATCAATTTACTAGAACGTAATCAATCGTATGTAATAAATATGGGCACGTAGCCAGCGAGCGGAGGGCCAACAAACGAGCTGACGGATGTGTGCATCGTGAATTATGTTTGTTTACCTTCGATGCAAATGCAAATTTTAGCCGGGTATATTAAAATAATCTGTGGAAATCTGTGGAATCAGCGCGGCGGAGTGTGCTGACCGTGGCCGTTTGATTTTCAAGTTTGGTTTCTCTTGCATTCTTGCGTTCGGCGCAACCAGTTCGGGTTATTACAGCTGGAGAGTCAGGAGGGTACTTAGGGGATTTGCTGTGAGTCCAGAATACACGCTCTCTAAATTTCTTGAAGCGAAATCTCCCTCAAGTTGGGGAATTACATGGCAGGGATGAGAGGGCCCTTCGATAAAAATCAATTAAACTTCTTTCGAGTGGGTTCTCGCCGCAAAACGAGCGAAAGAGCGACAACAGTGAAAACGCTGTCACTCGAGATCGCAGGAGTGAATGTTTTACCGAAATGTTCGAATGGATTCTCTTCATTCACGTGAGTGAACGTTTCGATCGATCGGACTAGATTTGTTTCTGTGACGGTGGACGGAGTACATTCGTGTTCACCCTTGAATTTCGGGCGGAAATATTCACTCGACAGTTCACAGCAGCGAAGGATTCGCTCCGTGTGAGCGGAAAGTCACTCGGTCTCGGCTGTCATTCTGCTGTTTCGCGTGGAATTGCACTCCGAGAGACTCCGACAACGGCACTTTCCTCCTCTCTCTCTCTCTCTTTCCCTTTGTCATCGAACCCGATTTAGAAATTACCGAAGACTACCGATCTACCCGAGCGCGTATCTTAGGCAATAATTGACGTCACTTGGCAGTCGGATCGCGCGTTGACCGCGCGGAGAATCGTTCGTTTATTCGTTCATCCGCTCGTCGCCGCTCGGCGAGCGACGTTAGCGAAATAATTACATTCTGCGCGAGGGGGAACGAGAGAAATTCGAATTGAAATTCCTCTCGTTTGTCCGACGATGCGCGGCGTGAAACGGTCCACGACGAACGCTCCCACGGAGCAATGACGGAATAGCTATTAAAGACAATTCATTCAGCCTGCTTCCCTTGCTTCCTTCCTTCCTTCCTTCCTTCCTTCCTTCCTGCCTGTCTGTCTGCCTACCTGCCTGCCACAACCCGCGCGTCGTTCCTTTTGCCTCGTTAAACTCTCATTCTTTCCACAATGCTCGCCGGCTCCCTGCGCTTGACGGACACTCGACGCTGTGTAATTACGCGAAAAAACGCACCCTCGCATCCGCGATATTACGTAAGTGAGAGGCGCCTGCACCCGCGTTCGCGAACACTCGTCGAGAGGAGAAGAGAATGAAAACGATGGATGCGCGTCGCGGCAACGGTGAGCGAGATAACCCCTCTCTCTCTCTCTCTCTCTCTCTCTCTCTCTCTCTCTCTCTCTCTCTCTCTCGCGCGCGCGCGCGCGCGCGCTTCGCCGCGACCGATAAATCTCCACGGTTGAATCTTTCGCGGGGATTAATCTCACCCGAGTCCCTGCGAGATCAAGTGGGAGAGTGAGTCTCTCGCTCTTCACCTATTGCGCGCCGATAACGGCTCGTTTCTATCCTCTTATCGCGAATGAAGCTCGCGAATAACTCGCCTTCGACGGACCCGCACAGTGTGCCTTTCTCCCCTTCGGCTTCTTCCATCTCAGAGAACACAATGCGAGCTCATTGAATTCGAGTCGAAGAATGTGTCTTCCTTTTCCGGCTGCCGCGGGGGTCATCAAAGCGCAAGGGCACGCAGCCACGGGACTTGATTAAATACTCGGGATGCTGTCTCGCGATGCGAGATATTCCTCCTCTCGCTCCTCATCTCGTCTCATCTCGTCCGCTCTCGGCTCCGGCGCGGCGTACACTTAAAATCCCCGCTTCTCCTTCTCGGAGAAGAGCCGCACTCCGCTCCCAAGAGGGATTCATCGCGCAAACGGACGGTATGATTTCACTTTATCGCTGTGTTACCACCACGGTACACCTACGGTGTCCGTTTTAGTTCACGCGTGAGAATAATCTCGGACGGCCGAAGAATCTCGATGAAGCGCGCGGCGCTGAATATAATGCGGCGCGCGGATTAATGCCCGAAGATTACCTGCCTGCGCAACACCCTATTGCGGTAACATTTATCTCTCTCTCTCTCTCTCTCTCTCTCTCTCTCTCTCTCTCTCTCTCTCTTTCTCTCCGTCTATCTGCCCATCTGTCTGTCTGTCTGTCTGTCTCTCCGTCCCTCTGCAAACTAACGCTACTACAGCCGGCGCGTGTACACGCAGAATCGCAATAAATCGCCGCTCATCCCGCCCGCGTATTTGCACGTTCGGCGCGCCGACGAAAATTGCGTATCGCGCGCGCGTTTTAACGTCACTCAGTTACGGAATATATAATTTGTTGTCGAGCGAATTACCGAGCGCGTTATCACGGGTCATTTAACAAGTATCACATGTTTTTCCCCGCGGTGAATTTTCACCGTCCGTGTGCGCTGTCGCGCCCGGTCTCTCTGAAAGCGATTCTGTGGCTCGAACGAACCTCGCGGTGTTACCTTCTCGACATCGGACGTTTCGTCTCTCTCTCTCTCTCTCTCTCTCTCTCTCTTTGTTATCACTCGAAACGTTAATCCCTCGAGTAATACAATATATATATATATATACATCAAGATTATCAAACTGCGAGCTGATATCGCGCCTAGTTAGTCCTTAAGCAAGCTGTGCAAATGTACAAACGCTTCGTTAATTCGCGGCCAGAGTTCGCGTCGAAGGAGCCGCGAGCCGTGCCGTCGGCCACTCTCTCATACATAATTCCGCCGAGACACCCGGCGATTTCCATATGGCAATCAATCGCATTGAACCGTGCCGTGCGCGCGGCACTCGTGAAATTCGCTCGCGAACGAAACGAGCGCGAAACGTGCACGACCGGGTGCTGTCGAAAGTTTCAGGCTCTCTCCCTCTCTCCCTCTCTCTCTCTCTCTCTTTCTCTCTCTCTCTCTCTCTCTCTCTCTCTCTCTCTCTCTCGCGGGACATTTGAAAGCCACAGGTGAGCGAGGATGAAGCGCATCCGTCCGCATCAGCCCGCCCGGCCGCTCATCGGTAAACAGCGCGAAGGTGAGAACGAGCGCGAGCACAGAGCAAACAAATAGGAATCACACTTACCGGGGCTTGTAGTCGGCCGCACGAGAGCAAAACGGAGGACGACGATGCTGATCCCTCGGTTTGTTAACGCGGCCGCATCCGCGGCCCGACTGCGCGATTCGCTGCCGATCCGTCGGATGATCCGATCGCACGCACCACCTTCCACGAGGTTCTACCCTTCGAGGTCGCCCTTCCGACCCGGTCGATCGGTGTAACGACCTCCGCAGGACTCTCCTCTACGTTGCGCCCCTCTACGCGACGATGAAAGCACCAGGTGTGCTGTTACGTGCTCGTCGCTCGGCCAGTGTCCAAGTCCATGTCCAACGATCGCTGATCGGTCCGCCGAGCTGGCCGACCACTAAGGATATGCCGATCCCCCGTCTCACGACGGGGTGAGAGCGAACCGACGACGACGACGACGACGACGACGACGACGACGACGATGACGATGACGATGACCGGAGCTCCTGCCGCCACGGTGGTCAGAGCGGCACTAGCGAGCCTCGAGAACGACCCGGCGCCCCTCTCGCCATCGACCCGGTTGCGCCCGACCAATCGACGCGTGCACCTTCCTCTCGTTTAAGTACATTCCGCTGGATCCGGAGGGTGGCAACCGACGACTCGGCAAGGGGTGGCGGACTATGGAGCACGATGGCAGAAGCGGCATGGGGGCGGCGGTGGCGGTGGCGGTAGCGGAGGCGACGACGGAGGAGGCGGAGACGGCGACGGCGACGGCGACGGCGACGGCGGAAAAACCGTTTCACGTGTTGCTTCGGTGTAAACACTGACACCCCGTAGCATAATTTAACGACCAGCCAGCCAGCTGGTACGTTTATCCGCGGAAAGTTGATTGCACAGGTGACGCGACGAGACGACAATGCCGCCTCCCCGACGTGGACGGACGTCCGTTAATGTACCTGGAATGAGAGAATGTACTTTAACCTATTACGGTATTACGAAGCGGAATCGGAGATGGCGAGTCTTCGTGTTCGTCTTCGCGTACGACGGTGGGCCGCGCGGAAGGATGTTTCCGGAGGATAATTGGGTGTTTTTGCAATACCGTCTCTCTCTCGGATATGGTAAACGCAAGTACGGTGAACGTTATTCGTTCAAAAATAACCTCGCTGTATACGCGACCAATAGCATTCACGATCAGCATTTACCGTCGTATCTGAGAGACGATATTGCAAAAATTCCCTATTCCTTCGCAGGCACACGCGTCGCCGATCGTGCTGCTGTTCTCTTCTTCTTTCTCCCTTTGTTGTCCTTTTCTTCTGAGAAAGAGCGAGGCAAATTTCCACGAGGAGAGGTGCCGTTTCCTCGCGCGAAAATTAAGTGCACCGAGCAACGAGAGAGTGCGATCGATCCAGCCTGAAATATCCAGCGGTGCTTCGAATTCTGCGTGTTTTATTTAACGTCATATTGCAGGAATGGCGAGCACGCTCTCCCTCTTTCTCGTTGTTGCGATATAAACTAACGTTCGGTTGAAATAGGCACTTTGCGCGATTGCGTTAGGTCCTTGCCGAGGCCGAGTGAGACTAATTCAACATGACCCACAGTAGCCAGAAATACCAAAACACGAAGCGCTATCTTATTGAGCGCACACGTGGCGACTGTTATAAACTTGCAGAAATTCCCCCTCGAATCGCATTTAACCGCCGGCACTTGTGTGCGAGCTCGCGCGAACAACGTTCCCAAAGTCATTACTAAATCGTAGCGGAATGAACGCTGCAGATAAGAACACACGTTTGAGCGCTCTCATTCGGCGGTGCACGAGGAAATCCGTTATCGTCGCGGTACAAAGTAAGAGGGATGAAAGGGCATGGCTGTGTGTGTGTGTGTGTGTGTGTGTGTGCGAGAATCGTCTGGCGGAATCTCCGATTGACACGCGCACAAAAGTGGTCTCTCCCGCGACAAGACGGAAGGCGCGCAGCGGCTGAAATCATAGGAAATTTTCGCCGCTGGATCGCCGTATAAAAACTCCGACGAGCTCGGACAAAGCTCGGCGTTTATTCGCACGACTCCCCGGAACGAGCCGACGACGACGACGACGACGACGACGCGGGCGCTTTTATCGCGGCCATGGAACTCGCGGGGGACTTGGCGACGATCGGAACTTTCGCGGATCGTCAAGCGACAAGAACAACAGGGCTGCGCGCAATCGGCCGACGGAGATAGATGCGGCGGCGGCGGCCAAGTTGGAGCCTGCGCTTAAGAGGGAAACGGTAATATCGCGTTAAGTAGATTTGCGAGGACTTAAGCGTATTACGAGTTTGAAATCCCCGGCTGCGAGCCGCGGTCGTTTATTGCATCTCGCGTCGCGATTAATAGTAATGCGCATTACAGGATGACGAATGTCAACGGCTTTGCTCGGAAGGAGAGGCTTATACCGCCCAGCATACCGCTGTAATATGCGGGATATGCGAAAAGAGCATGCGCCTCGAAAGCCGCCACGCATCGCTTTATTAAAGCGAACGTCGCATCTGAGTGCGCTGTAATTACCTTGACATGGGTCGCGGCATTCGCGCGTTGCCGTTGCGATCTCACGCAGAAGATCGCAATCGGGCCGGGAAGTGACGCTTTTTCTGCCTGGGACCGTTGCGACTGATTTTCTTCCGATGACGACTCGATAACGTCGAGCGACTCTCGTCTCGTCGGTTACGACTAACGGTGAGAAAATTACGCCCTCGGATCGCGCGGTCGAACGAAGTGCGGTCGTCCCTCTCGTCGTAGTCTCGCACACGTGGAATATGGCGACGGCGGATCGTAGGGTGAAAAAAAGTCCTAAGGGAGTCCTTGGTACAAGAGGGACTTGGGAGGAGACTTGGGAGAAGTTTGGGACAAGGACGAAATTGCAACGTTACTTTTCCATGACGAGTTATCCTTCAGAATGAATAACGATCACGAGTTATCTCTTGAGAATAGAAAGCTTCGCTTTCGAGTTAAGACGGCGCCTTAAGGACGGCGTTTTATGGGCGACGCAGCATCGTGAGACGAGCTCGAGCCGATGGACACCGGCTGTTGAATCGCGAGAGGCGAGATTGCGACCGAAATTGCGACGATCGACTCGTTACTCTGGTTTCGCCCGCTGCGTTCATCCTTCCGAACGCGGCGCGGTATCGTCGCCCTCGAGCGAAAGCACGTACACGCAGCGCCGCGCCGCGCCGCGCTCGAGTATTTCCTTTCGACTTAATAAATAACAAGGTGAAACGCGCGCACGTTGCGAACCGATGGTGTCGTAAACAATATTCGCTCGCTGCGAGAGAGTTACGCTCGCGAGACGACCCATCAAATGATATTAGAGCAACAAACTTATCGCCCGACATTTCTCTCCGCGTCGCGAGGAGGCTTCTTTTTCTCGCGACGAGTCTACTTCTTCTTCTTCTTCTTTCATCGGAAAACTTATGGCTACGACTCTGTATGACTTGTCCCGGTGATGACAGTTCTCGCTGGTATATATCAAAACGTGTTCGCGAATGCGGAGCTGCAGACTGCAAACCAAGACCGCGGAAAGATTCATCCGAATCTGTCCGCTCTCTTTCCTCACGCGATACATTTTCCTTTCGGCTTTTCCGTCTCGTCCGATTCTTTTGCAGTCTCCCAACGAGGTAATATACACCGTCGCGGATATAGCACAAATCGCATAACGGCTGCTCGCGACGACGATTGACGACGGAGATGTAATCGTGACACGTGACGGACGTAAGGGAGACTTTCGCCGATCCCCGATCAAGTCGATCTTAAATGCACAGCCGCGTTCGCGGCAGACGCGAGATATCAGCTTTAAGACTTTTGAAGTCTGGAACAGCAAAAGCGCGAGCAAAAGGAAGAATAACGCGCACTTCACATCACACATCGCGTTGCAGAGCAGTCGCGAAATAACGGGAAAGGGCAGAGAAGCGAGATGTGCGAGTTGTGCAACGACGCTTAACGAGACATTGTCGCCGAAAGTTACAGAGTAAGGCTGCAGTTGCACAAATATCGTGATCGGCCGCGCTTCGTTTCGCTCCACGTGTCCGATCGCGGCGCGGTGCGCATGACGGTGCGCGCGGCGAGGATTAAGGCCTCTCGTGCCAAACCTGCTTGATATTAAGCCCGTGCGTACGTTTGCACGCGTAGGTCGACTGTGTGTCCAACGGCGCGGGAGTGTCATCGACATTTGCAAAGTATCGTTGGAAATATCAAAATTTCATATTTCGCAGTCGCGCTCGAGCACGACAGACTCGCGCGTATTCGCATCGCGCGATGGACCGCGCATTATATATCGATTACACAGATCTACAAAAAATGGGGTCATGATTGTTGTTGGGCAGCTGGGGCTACTCGTTTCCCAAGTAATTTTCTGCGTAGAATCCGAATCCGAGGTCAGAATTGGCCCATCACGCCAGGATTTTGAGATATTTGAGGTTATATACTCGAAAAATGGCTTTTTGGGCTACTTTTGAGGTTATGCATAGGACGCACCAAATTTTTTAGCTCTTTTCTTCTAATTGCATCATTTAGTACTACTCTTTCCCTTCAAAATGAACTGTCGAATGGTCATCTACGATTTTTCCTTGCAAAGTTACGGCCATTTTAAGATAACATGATGAATTCCAAACTCTGCGCCGTTAGAGCCCAACAACCTCATGAGCATTCACTGAACTGAAAACTGTATATATGGGTTTTTGGGCCTATTATAATAGGATCTATTATATAATTATAATAGGACCTATTATAATAGATTTGGGGTCGATTTGAGATCAGATTCGTAATCAGCGACCCCAAAAACCCATATATACAGTTTTCAGTCCAGGTTTTCGGGTTTTTAGTTCAAAGTTTACAGGTTTAATGTGAACGCTCATGAGGTTGTTGGGCTATAACGGCCCAGGGTTTGGAATTCATCATGTTATCTTAAAATGGCCGTAACTTTGCAAGGAAAAATCGTAGATGACCATTCGACAGTTCATTTTGAAGGGAAAGAGTAGTAATACTAAATGATGCAATTAGAAGAAAAGAGCTAAAAAATTTTGTGCGTCCTATACATAACCTCAAAAGTAGCCCAAAAGGCCATTTTTCGATTATATAACCTCAAATATCTCAAAATCCTGACGTGATGGGAAGCAAAATTCTGACCTCGGATTCGGATTCTATGCAGAAAATTACTTGGGAAACGACCCCCAGCTGCCCAACAACAAAACCTTGTAGACCTGTGTTATTATACATACTTTTGCATTCGTCTTCTTGCATTCGGTTTCCTCTATAACGTCCTCTATAACGTCAACGTTATCCTCCGTTCTTTCTCTCGAAAGAGCAAGACAGAGGGAGAGAGAGAGAGAGAGGGAGAGAGAGAGAGAGAGGGAGAGAGAGAGAGAGGGAGAGAGAGAGAGAGAGAGAGGGAGAGAGAGAGAGAGGGGGGGGGGGTTCGTTCGCCTGGTAAAAGTCATAACAGTCGCTGTCTGGGAAACCTGGAATCGATTCCCCTGCGGGTATTCACCCCTGCAGCGTGCAGGTGCATAGGCAGGCTATAGCTGAGCGTCTGGAACGATCGGACGCGTTTTCTCGAAGAAAAACGCCCACACTGAGCGCACTCGGCGCGGGACGGAACGACAATTCGTTTTAATTATTACCCGGGCGTTGGATCGTCCTCAATTATTGTAATTGCGATTGAAGATAGTGCGCTTTCATCGCGAGTCCTATCGGGCTGCATTATCGCGGCGCCGCGCGGCGCCGCTCGACGTGGACTTCCACTGCTGGAAATTAGCGGAGCTCGCTCGTAATTACGGCAAAATAAATTCTCATACGCGAGGGAGCTCCCGGTTCGGGTCGGAAAGGCGAAAAGACGTCGTCACGAGCTACGAATTACACTCGTTTCCGAGACGTCGCATTAATCCCGTGATTCAGCGACGTGCTCGGATGTGCCGAGGCGCTGGGCGCATTAGCAATATTGTTTCGCGCCGAATAAAAGGGAAAGGGAAATGGAAAGGGAATCGGCCGCCTGTGGCGGGCGCTCGTTGTCACGTCGTCATCCGAGAACTGGCAGTGGATCGATATCGCGGAAAGCTCCCTCCGTCCCACGGAGGGAATTCGAAAGATCGCCGAGCGCGCGCGTTGCGAGAGCGTGGCGTTCCCTCCTGCGAGCGACGGTATCGCGTACACTTCGCGATATTGAAATCTACAAACGGCGTGTCTCGAGTGGCAGCTTTCGTCTCGACAATCCTTTGGCGGTTTCGTCATTAACGTGCAACGCCACGTGTGCGTTTTCACGTACGTTCACGTACGTGATTCGCGATTCGGCGAACCTGGCGTGTGTACCTGGCGCTCGTTACCGGGTTCGGTCGGGACGACTCGACATTCCGATTGCATTGATTAACTCCCCCCCCACCCCTCCCCCGCCGGGTGAAGGGTCGAAAAATCGCCAACACACGCGCGAAATGACGCGCGCGTGCGGCTGCGGAACGTTATGCAACTGCCGCCGGCACTTTGGCCACGACGCCAACGTGTATCAAGTTAGTCGCATGCTAACGCAATATTCCATCGACGGCATCTCCCGATTCAAAATTCCGTCCTAGCCGCAAGGCCGCAGAGCGCGACCTTCACGCTTCGGGCTCAAGGAGCGCGTCGGACGCGTGTAATTGCAATTTCCATGAATATCGGCGCGCGTGTTCCGCGGAATTACGATTTTCCAGCAGTTCGCATAAACGACCGTCCGATTGAACCGAAGAGCCAGGACGATTTCTCGCGGATGATACCGAAAGCGACGCTGCGCGATGTACGTACTTTGCTTTCTTACGGCTTCTTTCCTAGATGTCGCTAGATGTCGCTAGCTCGCGCTCCCCGTGATAATACGCCATGATAATGTCGTACGCCGCATGTTCAAAACGATGTGATTAAAGAAGAAAAATTACGCTCTTCCGTTCAGTCGAACATACACAGCCGAGATAGCGCGTACGATGCAATCCCTTTAGCGAGAGAGATGTTTGTTTTTCGTTCCTCGCTGCGAAAAAGCGCGAGATTCTGAATTCTTTCGGTCGGATTTACAAAGGAAAACTGACGCGAATACCGCGGCACTCGGCATTTTGCGAGAGCACATATAGACGTATCGCATTTCATCACTCGAATCCGCAAAAATCCGAGCAGCAACCGAGGACCCCTCGGGCGCCTGCGAACGCCGACGAAACGCATTTATCCCGGTCCGATGCAATTGCTCGATTATCGGCGATAATCGACCTCGATAAAAGGCATTCGAGCTGGACACACGAGAACGCTGACGCAACAGGACACTTCCAAAATCCGCCGATAAGTTGATTACGCGGCGTTCGCAGCGCCGATAATGGACAACGAGGACGGCGAGGACGAGAGGATGGACGGGCGCATCCACCGGTCTTTTTACGCAAACGACGCGAGAGAATACGCGTCTCTCCAGCCTCTTCTCCAGCCCCCTCTCGTCCAGGTGCGTTTGTCGAATTGTCGATTCCGAGGGCACCAGCGGGGCCGGCCGGCCGACGGGCCGGCGATCCTCGCTCTCGCGGCGGGGCAATTCACCCTTCTCCGACCTTTGCGAATATTGATTTTGCGAGTTTCGAGGTTTCTGGAGCAAACCCGACGCCCTGGCGACGCAGGCGCCGACGGTGACGCTGGCGTAAGCATGGCGTAAGCAGACAGTCGCTCGCTCGGACCACCGCCTGGGCTTGACGCGACTCCCGCGTGCGACTTCCCGTGCCAGTCGCGCGAGGATGCGACCCGCTCGGCGAGGATCAGTGCCGCAATTCGCCACGAGCCGCCGCCGAGGAGCGGAGTACAACACGCAACGGCAGTGAGCGCGAGACCCCGGCGAGATGAACGGCCACGTCCGCCACGTCGTCGCCACGTGCTTCCTACTCGTCGCGATCGTCAGCCTTACCAGCGGTGAGTACGGAATGTATTTACGTTCTCGTCGCTCATCGCGCGCTCATCGGTTATCCACGAGTCGTCGTCGATCCTGCCGAAGCGTCCTCGGTCCTCGGTCCAGCGTGATCTCATGAACGTCCCGAGTCGCCTCGCTGTCGAAAGCGCGGAATTCAGACACGCGGGTTGCGATCCGAGGCCTCTGCTTCGTTTCGGCATGTCGCTCGAGTGGAACTCGTTGCTCGCGCGATATCTTCGTCGGGCGCGTAATCGGGCACATTGTGTGATTTCGTTGTGATTTCGTTCAATCGCGATAACGATAATCGAGGGTGCTCGGGATTTAATAGACTCGCTTCCCCCGGCTCGGCCCAACAGGTGTTAATGTCAAATTTGCCATGTATCGCGCCTACGTGAAGCTTTATCTGTCCCTGCGACCTGCGAACACCCGCGGTGTCTCTTTTGTCTGTTCGCTCGTCGAGGATGTTATCCGCTCAATATGATCGATGTCAATAATCTTTTTCACTTGCTTCCGCGACGCTTCGGCGACGGTCGTCCACGCGAGATGGATTCAACGTGCCCGACGAAGCCCCGAGGATCTGAAAGAGAAATAACAAGTTGATTTGTCGACGTACTATCTAACTAGAGTAGAACGCGCGAGTATTTCTGTCGCAAACAATCGCGAGTAACAAATCTGTTGTCGCCGAGGCGACGGAAGTCTGAACTTTCGACAGAAATAACTCGCGCGCCACGTTTCTGCCACGTTTTGTGTATCGTACATAATGCACGAGCGGGGGTTATCGTGAAAATAGGTCAGCTAATGTCAAAGGAGCATCGAACGTACGCGGCTTCCGAAAAAGCGAATGACTTGTGGTGCTATCAGTGCGATACCATGGACGACGGCGATAGATGCTCCAATATAACCGGCAATTTCAGCTCTTTCAAGCACAAGTGCATGGACGACAAAAGGATCTGCATGGTAAGATGCCGCGGCCGCGAAGCAGCCGCGTTTTTTGCGATCGCATTCGTCGTTTGATCTCAATTCACTCGAATTCTCGCGCATCTCAAGATGCGCGAGATGCGCGTAATCTCGCGCTAAGACAATTCTCAAGACAAGAATTCTCAAGACAAGTTAAGACGATCTTGGATGTAAGATCGTATTATTCGTGAGAGGAAACCACCACCGTTTCTTCTCGTTCATTTCGATTTTTCTTTTTTCCCTATCAAATGTGAGGTATTTCTCATCTTGCTCTCCTGATCGCGGTCTGATAATATCGGTAAAGGACGAATGCCTTTACCAATCTGACGTTCCATCTGACGTTACAGGTGAAGCGCTTTTCCTACACGACTAGCACCGAGAACTCGACCTCTATGCCGCAAACGTGGTCCATGGAGAGAAACTGCACGAACAAATGCGACCCGGGATGCATCGTGATCGGCGAACGCACCAAGCTGTACGCCTGCACCGCCTGTTGCGAGACGCATCTGTGCAATACCGGTACTGGCACTGCCAACGACCTAACGATCAAGGAAATCGACCTCCTGCTGGCCCTCACGCTCCAAGCTGTCCTGACCGTTATCATGTACCCGACGTGACAGTAGTAATAAAGTCTCTAGTTGCAATTTACCCTGCCCCCCTCCTGCCCTCCTCAGGCTAACCTAACCTAACAATTCACCGACTCACCGGCATCTTGCGCGATGGAACTTGCGCTTGTAGATGTGAGATTTTGGTCGTGTATTCTCGAGTCTCTGCGATCTCGCATCTATAGCAAAGTCACAGAAAAGATTCACTTGAAACTGAATGGAGAATAAATAAAGAGGAGAATTTACGAAGATTAGCAACGGTGGTGATAACGTTGATTTCGCGATCCTACAAGCCGTATACTTTTGACCGCTTGTACAACCGCTGCCTCTTTCTTATCGCCACGTTTCGAGTACGTTGAATAATTGATCATCATCGCACTTACGTCCCTCTCTCTCTCTCTCTCTCTCTCTCTCTCTCTCTCTCTCTCTCTCGACGGCTGCAATTTTCCGTAGATTCCCAAAGACTTTTTCGGCGTCGTCGAATTGAATTCGAATGGCCGCCGGACACGAAACACTGCAGCGCTTAATCTCCAATTCAAATTTACCGACCGCCACTTATTCGCAGAATACGGCTCCATCTAGTATCGATATTCCGAGTCACGGTCGATACATTACCATACCGACTGCGCATGTAAAACCAACGAGAGAGGAATTAACGAGAGAGAGAGAGAGAGAGAGAGAGAGAGAGAGAGAGAGAGAGAGAGAGAGAGAGAGAGAGAGAATACAATTATTCGTTTCTCTGACTTTTTGATGACTTTTTGTGAATGCAAATCGCGAAGCATTAAGAATCATAACGGTAAAAATGAAATTATGGAACAAAATCACTCAGATTTAACTGGATCTTTCTCTCTTCCAGGTAATCTTAAGATTAAATTTGCGGCTAATTCGTCACGATTCGTACGTCGCTCCGTTAAATGCCTCGGAATTTTGGTCGGAATCAGCGATTTCCACAGTCTCAAGCAAAGTTACATAAGATTACTCACTCCGGTGTATAGCGTTTGTTTTCTTTTTCCTCGTCTTTGCGTGAGCGACGCTTACCTTCGCGTGTCCGCAACGCTCACAGCAGTGTCCAACCAACCAGTTGTCTCTGTACCTCCGCCGCCCGAGGAGAATAAAATGGGATTTATTACGTGTAACAATTGCACATCTCGTGATGTTAGGACGTTTTCCGCGCGCTCGCCTCTGGGCTGCCCACCGCGAATACCAAGAAATATGACACCAGAAGGAAGCACAGTTTGCGCAATCGCGCGACACGCACGCACGCACGGTATGATATGATGTCGCGCGTTCAAACTTGGCCGTTGGCTTCGCAAGTTTCAAATATACGCTATTCCCTGTGTTAATTGCGATTAATTAGCCACACAAAGTCGACAAAGTCTCTTCCGTTTCCGATAATAATACCGCGTCACCAATGTTTACCATTGGCGGCCCCTCTCGAAAGAAGAGGGGGCAAGTCAAGGAAGCCGAGCTTCGAACGTAACGTCAGAGTCAGAGTAACGTAGAATTTACGTAGAATACGTGCATAGTGTGAGCTAAAAAGAAAAGAAAAAAGAAAAAAAAGAAGAAAAAAGAAATCAACGAGCGGGCAACGGTTCCCGATCCCGGGAGTTCTGCAAACGAAAGCCGCAACTCACTCGCGCTGTGTGTCGTAAATTATAAAATCCACACAGACATACGTACCCCACTTCTGCAAGATCCATCGATCTGTGTCGAGAGTGCTGTGGCAACTGCGGCGATGACCAAGTGTGTTCGGGCGAATTAATCAGGGTCCAGTTACGAAAAGTAACCGCATGCAATGTCAGCGACTCACCGGCGCGGCGATGACGGCGGTGATGGCGGTGGTGGTGGCAAGCGGCGGCGGTGATGTCGGCGCTTATCTGCTACCATCGTGCACGCTTTCCGCGATAAATACCGCTCGGCGTTTCACGCGCGTGTTATTACTACGTGAGCCGGGGAAGCGGAAGAAAAACGGCGATACTGCGCCGGCAATCGGCCGGCAACGCCGTTGTGACGGTCGACGGTCGGTCCCGACTTGCCCAACACCGAAGAAGAGACCGCAGTCCTCCTAACGACGGGAGAGGACAGCCGGACAGCATGCACGCGACAGGATCGTCCACCGCCGTCGGTGTGCCGATTTACTTCCTATGTGTCATCTCGTTCGCTGCTGCTTATCCGACAATGAGCACCATCCGATACCGGCTGATACCGGAGGAAGCGCCGCCGAGGAAGTGCTGCGCCGCCGGTCACGCGTTCAACGAGGCCCTCGAGTGCGTCCACGTGGGTCCAGACAGGCTCAACTACACCGTGGACGACGGCTGGAGGAGGACAATACCGCGACAGAGAGAAATCATCACGGTGGTGATCGTGTCCGCTGTGCGAGGGTTGAACTGTCGCGAGGATCCAAGCCTTCGCATGACGAACAACTACTTCCTGCGCACCTACTCGGCCGCGTTGCACGCGTTGCACGCGTACTCGAGCAAGTACTGCGTCGAGAAGATGACGAACGGCACGTCGGTGTTGGCCAAGTGCCCCCCGGACTCCAACGCTGACGAAGACGAGGACGCAGCGGCGGCGGCGGCGGCGTTAATGCTGTTGACGACCGTGAGGACTAAATTGAGGGCCACGGTGACGAGCATCAGCAGGACGGCCACGGTCACGGCCACAGGACGGTCGACGGACGACACAGCAAACTCGTCCTCCGGGAAAGATAAAGAGAAGAAGAAGGTCGTCTGTCGCGGCCACGGGCTGCGCGCGGTGATCTTCTGGGGCGCGCAGACGTACATGGATACCAACCTGGCGCACGTGGTGCTCTGCATCATCGTCGTGACGGTCTATCTGACCGTGCCGGAGCTGAGCAAGAGCATATACAATCGCGCCGTGTTGCGTCACAACGCCTGCCTGCTGCTGCAAGGCTGCATCCTGACCTTCCTCGGCTACTGCGACCTGTACGAGTGCTCGATGACGGTCAGCTCCATCGTGTTCCTGTGGATAGTCCTGCAGTACTTCACCAACGCCACCGGCTTCTGGCTCAACGTCATTTGCTTCGACATGACTCTGTCCATCACGAGGTTCCGTTGGATGGCGGGATCGGGTCAGCGCAGCAGCCGTGAAGAGAACAGACGGCTTCTTCTCTACGGCGTCTTCGTCTGGGCCGGCGCCCTGATCCCCGCAGTGGTCGCTCTCGTCCTCGAGTACTGCCCCGGGATCCCGGAGGACTTCCCGTTGAAGCCGAATTACCGTCGCTACCGCGACGGCCCGAACGTCGTGGTGAATCTCTACTTCTTCGGCATCCCGTTGCTCACGCTTTTCTGGAACAATGTGCTCTTCGTGTTTACCACCTACAAGATCATACGCATACAGAGGAGCACGGAGATAGCGACGCAGAGTCAGAACAACGCGCTGCGGAAGAAGTACTTCCTCTTCCTGCAGCTGTACCTGCTCATGGGCGCACCGTGGTTCTTCGGCTTGCTGCTCGCATGCCTCAACAATCTGGTGATACTCAAGGTGTGCCGGCTGACGCAGCCGATACTGTGGCTCCTGATGCTCGCCGGTCACAAAAAACTGCGGCGAAAGCTTACGGACAAACTTGCGCTGCTGCGACAGGCGGAAGGTGGAGGCTAACGCGACCAGCTCATAAATTGTGTTACTTGTTCTCATCTTTCTCCCCGTAGAAGTTCAAGAGGCGGGGAACAAGTGAGAGAGAGAGAGAGAGAGAGAGAGAATGTGTGTGTGTAAATGAACGAGGCGACAATAGGGATGAATCAGCGAAATTCATCGACATATTCATCGACTCAACGAAGACGGTGGGAGGGGAGGGGGGTTGCCCGTCGTCGTCGTCGTCCGGCACAGAGAGATTACGTAATCAATGAAGAGGAACTCCTCTTGCTCATTGTTGCGGCTCGCGCAACTGCGCTTTGCGGGCATTTGCATTTTTCCTTGCGCAATCTGACACGCAAACCCGTAGGAAACCCCCGTCGGGGAAAAGAAGAGGAGAAAAAGTACGAGAGACGGCGACGAGGAGCGTCGCCGCAATATCCGATACCGCGGACTTGGCGCGACTCATCGCGCTCGGAAAAACTCCGAGTTCGTGGGAATGCAGGACGACGACGGCGACGGCGACGGTGGCAGCGATGGCGGCGAGGTGTGAGAAGCCTTGGATAATAAAGGAGTCGGCGTCTGCCGACGTTTCCTGTCCGGGACGTTTTAATTACCGTATTCGCCCGTTTCGCGTTCGTACCGGATGACGACGACGACGACAGAGGGGCGACGTTCGCTCATGCTAGTCTCTTTGTACTTCTTTTCTACGACGTGTGGCATATTAAGTTGTTAGTGTATGACGTAGGCGATAGTGCAAGAGAAGCGCGAGAGTGACTATTTCGCACGGGAATTCCGAAAAATTCACTTAGTGCTTGGCTGATCTTTCTTTTTACGGACGTATACGCGGTGAGAAACAGCCGATGGTATCAGCGCGCGTAAATTGATACAGGATATATCGCTGGAAAATGTGCGAAATATCTCGCTCGTTGTAGACCGTTTTACCGTCGGTATCGTTCCCATGCGCCGATTTTGCGTCGGGTATTATGTAGGTAGAGGCTTTAATCTCGTAGATAAATATGTAAATATCGCAGATATTACAGAAACCCCGATATCTAGTCAACAAGAGAATAAACAGGTCGATTAACGAATGTAAATAGGACTCGCCGGAAGGAATTATCGCGCAACACGGGTGTTGCTCTCTCGATGGAGCGAATGCGCGATCGAGCGAGGGATCGATGGACGAAACAACCTACGGCCAACGACTCATTTAGACATATCGACGCGATGACGCATTATATACGCAGCATGATATACAAAAACCGTAGTTTTCTTTAGAATTAATTTACGCCGTCACCATGACCGTGGACTCGGAGGAATGTTCCGATGCGTCGCATATCACGTGAGCGTTAAGTACCTCTGGTACGAATAAATGTAACACGTACTGATTTTACGATATTTTATTTTGTAAATAGAACGAGGGGCCGAAAACAGAGTTCCGTTTTACCATCGGTATCGTTCTTTTGTGCGAGAGAACGCAAGAATTTGCTCGGATATATTTGTCGCGCTGTGAAATTGCACATTTCGCGAGAACTCAGGGAATTTATCCGCGCGATAATACATTTGCGACAAAAAACAAGACATTTTTTAGAACAAGATATAAATAATAATTAAAGCATACGTTCAAATCGACCGTTTCTTTGTACAACCTTGTGTAACCGTTTCTTTATATAAATCCTCCTTATCCTGATAAGGTACACGCAGCCTGCTCTTGTAAAGTTACGTAATGCTCGCGCGTTTAACGTCATTATTGCTTCAGCGAGAATTATCGTTATTAGATTATTATTTTGCGTGTTTACATCGTTACCAAAAGTGATGCTTCTGATTGTCATTGCCAGTGTGGTCATTGCGAGTATTTGTCCATCGTATTTACGTTGCACCAGGGTGGGCATTTAACGTATAACACATGTTGACACTCGAGTATTATTACCCTCTCTCGGTGGATTTTTCTCACAAGACCGTTAACTAGGAAGGCTTATATTGCGCTAATCCCTGTAAGTATGTGTGGACGTGACGTGAGTCATCGCCTGGATATCGCCGCAGATTGCATCAATATTTATACCGTGTCGTTACATCGCGTGTTGTACGCCGTGCAGATTCGTGTGTGTTATTCCGCAAAACAAAACAAAAAAAAGAGGGAGAGAGAAAAAAACAAAAGCTAATTTATTCGCGTCAACTTTTTCGCGTCGTACGATTTATTCCCATTTTATACGGAAATCTTTCCGTCACGTTTGCGACTTGCTCGTGCACGCGTGCATTAAATATCGAGCATAAAAAATATCGTATAAAATAACAATTCGGAAAGCCTGTCAGCCGTGAATTTATGTAACAAACCGTTCAAGCGGCTCAAGCGAGTTGAAGCGCGTACAGATGATGGCTTGACAGTCATTATGTCCGACCAGCTTTTCGAGTCGTTTACGCTCAGAAATGCTTTCCATCCCGCGGATTCGCCGCACGGCATGCGAAATTACGACTTGGGCGCCCTCACGAGGGACCAGAAGCGCGAATTGAACGAAATGAAAATGATCACTCGCAAAGAGAACGAGATTTACCTGCATGCTCATCCGGAAGTGCGGGCTTTAATCGCCATTTTGCTAAGGTGAGCACACACACACACACACACACGCAACATATATCACGGGTTGGAATACATCACGCACGTAATTCCCCGAGAATCTCTCGACCCTTCCACCTCTCACGCGCACCGCAGAAAATTATTCATCCTGCATCTCACTTTTCGTTCTTAATACCAAAAAAGAGAAAAGAAAAAGGGAGAAAGAAAAAAGCGGGAAAATACGTGTCGATTGTAACGCCCGATAGCGCGATGAGAACACCTGCATTCGGCATTAAGGGTACGTCGTTAAAATCGCCCGCAGACACGTCCTATCGAAGCGGCCGCTCATCGATATTCCCGAAGTCGTAGGAACATTTTTCAACAGACCGCGTCGTGAGATTGCCGCTGACCTTTTGGATTACTCCTCGTCTGCCGATAAACGACCGGATATAATGGACAATCTTGGACGGGAAGTATTTCGAGCGAACGACCACATTGAAATTCCGCACGGTGACGACTCGGATTCGCAAATCTGCGATTGTGTCTCGTATCTCGGCTGCTGTAATTGCACGGAAAGAAGAACGCCGTCATCTCTGATAATTCGGCCTAATTGTTCGAGCGAGTGCGACGCGATGTAGACGAGAGAGAGAGAGGGAGAGAGAGAGAGAGAGAGAGAGAGAGAGAGAGAGAGATCGACTCGTCCGTTCGTACGTGTCAAAAATCGGTTGAGAGTTACGGATAGATAGCGCGATTCGTCGAAAACAAGCCGGGCTGTTTCCAGAAAAAGCCCCGCGGAACGCTCAGCCAATCAGAGCGTTCGCGCGGCGAACCTGCTCGTCTCGCGAAGCGAAACGTCTCGCGGGGCGAAAAATTACAAGAATGGTGCGATCACGATGATCAAAACTCTTACGTTTACGCACGATTATTATGAATCGATACGAAAGCGATAATATTGCAGGTATAATTATTATTACCATTACGAGCAAGACGGCGAATTACGATGATGAGAAACAAATCAATAAAAAATTACAATCGTACGTGTAATTCTGCGCTTATGTAATGACTCAAGGTCTTTGCCTCGTTTGTCTCGTTCTCTTAATTATTAAAGCCACATGTGTATGCTCTCATGAGTGTCTTCTCACATTTTTTGTTGCACGAGCCGAGCAGTGACGAGATATATATATATATATACGGGTTTACTTTGATAACATCGTTTCAAATTAAATTCACTTGCGATCGTTATCATACAGATGGCGATGTCTTTCTGACAATAATTCGATCGGAAAGATGATCCTACCATATATCTATAATCCAAAGAGGATATGGAAGATAATACTTCTGTATATCCTCTTTACAGAACGTCATGCTTCTCGCTTTCGTTAAGTCTGTCACACGCATCGAAAAGACTCGGTGCGTGTCGTGGATACGCGTGACTTCCGCACGCGTATATCTTACGTACACACGCACGTTAACCGTGCAACCGGTTGTTCTTATTAATCTGGACCTTATCTCGTTCATTAAACGGTCGAACAGGCGACAATGCGAAAAACCATTAGTCGCGTTAACGCGAGCGCGCGCGTGCACGCGGCTGAAAAGTAACAAACGCGTTATCGATTAGATAGAAGCGGAGCGCGAGAAAAAAAAACGAGCGAGAACGCGGTTACGCCCGAGTTACCTGACAATATTCAGCAACGATATTTATCTGGCCGCGCTAACGACAGTGCTAAGCGGTTATCTCGGAGTAATATGATGGGCGGTTTTCCAACCGCCCATCCGGTCGCAGCGGCGCGCAATGGCGATCGACCGTGGTTAATTAAATTTTGTTTCTCCGTCGGAACGCCTTGCTCAACTGTTACGTTAATGGTAATTCCTTAATGACCAATCCGACGACGATTGGGAGTCGTTAGCGCGACAGAGTCGCGCGAGATTTGCGTGCGAATCGAAGCAAGTCGTAACGAGTCGAAGTAAGCCGAAACGTGTCGGCATTGTCGGCGAGAAAAAAAAAAACGAGTGTCCGTATCGCAGTGAATTATCAAAGCAATTAATACGTCGAATCACACTCGCGACGTGGGTCGCGACGAATTTGGGCGAAGATTTTGTCGTCACACTGGCAAGATCCGCGATCGGTTATCGCATCGTGTGATTCGTCTCGCGGAACCAACGAAATTAGCCATTAACCGTATCTACAAAAGCGATCGCACTGCTGTGTAATGAAGCAACGTATACTGGTACCGTATGATATATTCTCGTCGAGTTTCCGGTTACTTACAGAGTGGCGGAGGAGGTAGAGGAGGAGAAAAGCGGGGAGTTGTTCGCGATTGTTTGAGTAGCCGCTGAAATTCCGCTGCGAGTGTCACATATTGTCCTTTCATTCACGTTGCCACCGGCTGCTCGCTCGTGTCTTCCGATCGCGCTACGAGCACGACCGCCGAACACCGTTGCGTTTCTCTCGTATGTTTCACAGAACACTCGTGGATCCTCGAGCTTTCCGTGGCGAGAATTTCCATAAATAAAATCCCCCGCTGCGAATACAAATATTCCGTAGGTGTGCGCGTCGCGGAGAACGAGCTTTTCAAAAATTTTCAGTGCGTTTAGGAGAGAGAGAGAGAGAGAGAGAGAGAGAGAGAGAGCCGCCGGCGTAATGCATACTTATGATTCTAAAATATTTGCTGGAAATTTGTCAGAGACCGCTTTCTCTAAAGAGCTCACAGAGCTGACTTTTTTTCGACAGTGCAAGCGAAATTACGCGAGTGAAATTACGCGAGTGTAGCTCGACGTGATCTCTCTGTAAAAGTCGCGTGTTGACAGCGGGAACCGTCGACTGGACCGAGAGCGCGATAAAAAGGAAAACGGAATAAACGGGACAATTTGAACGATATTGGCAGTGGGTGAATTTCAGTGGAGAGTTATTTAACACGCGATGCTGTCATCTTTACATCCTCGATAGTGATTGACTGGATAAACTTACTAGTCAAATATTACAGCTTGCGTTTTCCTGTGTGCCTAACGCGCTGAAAAGTTTTCTATTAGCTATCGGCACCCTCTCTCTCTCTCTCTCTCTCTATCTCTCTCTCTTTCTCACTCGTTCCCTCTCATTCTCTCTTTCTCTTCATTCGTGCTCATACATATATACAAAAAGACGTAGTTTGTACTCTGACCGCGTGGTCGATGGACATCGCCCGACGGTGCGCCGGTGAGCCGCTTACATTAAACGCGATGTTGCAATGGCGGCCGGACAGAGCCGGCCCTATACAGACGTGCACCCATAGCGCCGCGAGATAAAAGCCGTGATCAATCGCTCCATCGATCGGCATCGTCGGAGACTTCAACGCGGTCCCGCCGCCAGTCGGTTCCGGACACGATTAATTATCCCGGCCGCAACGACTGGAAGAATCGATTTCCACAATGGGATCAGATAATCCCGCTTGATTTCTCTCTGAGTTAGAGGGCAAAGACACGCTTTACGAGATGGCTCGTACTTGATCGTCGAAACGTGAAGTTACTCTCAGTTCGGTACTTACGCGCACGTGCACGTGAATCTCTAAGAACGGGGCGCGTTATTTCGCATCCGCTGTTCCGCTATACGTTCCGAAATACTTTTCTTTCAATTCGCTAAAGTGTAGCAGAAAGTCATATCTCTCTGTCAGAACATTAATTACATCGTTGTGTACGATCTGAACTAAGCAAGTGCGTTACTCACGGAAGAGTGAGTTTCGATTCAATCATCGTTAAAAAGTTGGGCAAAGTAGATAACGACGATCGCTTTAGCGATGAGCAGCAGTGGCTTTTCAGTAGAAACAGCCGAGCGGGCAGGCGTTTAAGAGAGAAATCAATTTTTCAACTTTGCACGGGGCTCCCGGCGCATCTAGACACAGATTTGCGACGTGCGCCCTGCGCCCTCGTAGTCTCCGGCGGCGAGGCACGCGCGAAACCAGCCGAGCGCGGCCGAGCGCGGCCGAAGACCCGCGTGGCGCTACGGGAGACTACGAGAGCGGTCAGTCACGAATCGGCCTTCGCGCAGGCGGTAACGTCGCTCCGCGGGAACACGTCGCGTCGTCTATTTTCGTTCGGCCGATACGACCGGCGGCGACGACGCTGTGACACGTTTTGAACGTACGCAACGAGAGAGTGTCATATTCGGGCGATGAGCATCATCCGCGATTACAATGACGTAGTAGCGCAGGTTTCGCGGCGTCCTCACGTTCCGACGGCTCAGCGGCGAGATTAACGAGACCGTTCGACGGATCCGGATCGCGGACGGCTGCGGCGACAAAACTTGGACCTATCGACGGCTGATCCTTCGCACGGACGATCGAACGGACTTCCTGGAGATGGAGCGTAATCTCTGTTCACAGTCGCGGTGCGAACGCGACTGTTGACACCGCGCGCGACGGCAAGTTCTCGTCCGACTCACGGACGGAGGATCCCTCTCCCCGACGACGGCGTTGTCAACGCGTTGTCCCAGCGGCATCGATCAACCGGCCGTGCGAGAGTGCGAGTCTTTCTCCGCAGCACTCAGCCAACACGAAACGCGACTCACGAGACGCGAAGCGAGCTCGTGAGAGAGCTGCTCAAACCCGGCCGTCGCTCCGACGACGTTTCGCGTCGCGTCGCGTCGCGTCGTGTCGCCCCGCGTCGCGTCGCGCCGCGTCGCGCCGCGCCGCGCCGCGCTTCCGCGTCCCCGTGCAATGGCAGACGCTCCGCGAATCGGTCGCCCCGCGGGTCCTCGACGAGCGAGAGCGACGGGAAAAGAAGTCGCACGCGCGTCCCGTCAGTGATCGACGACTACCACGGCGTCGTATATCGACACGCCGGAAGTGCCGTTACGAGTCTGTTGTGTGGCGCGTAAACGCGCGAACGAGGAGAAAGAAGAAGAAGAAGAACGTTGTTGGAGTGCGTTCTTCGGGATACAACTCGATAATGCGCGAGTGCTGATCAGCGCGTCCCAGGTGTCTCTCCGCCTGATCCTCGACGTCGTCGTCGTCGTCGTCGTCGTCGTCGTCCGTGTGTGCGCACGGCCACGCTCCAGACACCACGGAGAATAGAAAGAGCAGCACGCACGGGGTCAACCCTCGGATATGTTAACGAAGATGTGCGGCGGCGGCGGATTGATCGACCGGTTGCTCTTGTTAGCGGCGTTCGGAATCACAGTCCAAGGTATGCGATTCTCTGTTATTTCTCTCTTCTTGTTCTTTCTGTCTCTCCTGTTCGCCGATTCACCTCGGCGCTTTGTACCCTCCTCTCCCCCCGGGCGCGCAACCCTTCGCGCTTCGGCTCCCCTTTGCACGCTCCGCTTTTACGGTCCAATGTCGCGCGTCCTCCCCCCTCGCACGCGCGCGCGTGCGTGTGTGTGTGTGTGTGCGAGCGAGCGAGCGCGCGTTGCCGTTGAGTAAATAATATACAGGGTGTCTCTGCGCGACGAGACGCGCATCGAGCCCGCGAATAATGGACGATCTCGACCGACGTTTGGCGTTTGGCGACGCGCGCCGTTTTCTCGTTCCCACGGATCCTCGCATCGGTTTCACCGCTTTCCGCGATTGCGGCGACGACGACGAGGCCGATGGTGCGGATATCCCATTCGCATAAATTGATTCGCGCACGCCCCTCTCGCCCGTTACGTTGTTTCGTCGATCGCATTCCGCCGAATCCGCGCAAATCGAGTTGGCGCGGCGAGGGAGAGGGCGCGCTTTCCGACGGGGATCTCGGCAGGAGGACGCGAGTACTTGTTTCTTGTATTCCCCCTCGAGAGAAAGGTACATGCGATAAGAAAAATATATGTACAATTGTTCACAGAATTTTCTCGTAATTTCTATCAACGTAATGTAGCGAGATCGAGCGCCGTGTGTGTCTCTCGCAATATCGATCTATATTTCACGAATTATACGCGATCGCGCGCGCGCGACATATATAAAAATGATGACGCGTCGTCGATCTAGCCGGAGCGACGTCAAGCCGCGCTCGAGCGGGGAGCGATTATTATTAAAGACTTCCGAAAAGAGAGAGAGAGAGAGAGAGAGAGAGAGAGAGAGGGAGAGAGAGAGCGCGCTTTCGATTCGTGCCTCCACTTCCAACACTTCCATACGCGGGCCCCGGTATCATTCCGTCCGAAATCAATTCCGTTAGCCCTCAATTACTTTGATGGAGGCACATCTGACCCCGATGCGGATGGCTCGTGAGATATCAATTTTATCTTGAACTCTGACTCGTAGTATCCCCCGCGTGATTTATACCTTTTTCCTCGCGCTTTAGCTCTCATCGCCGTTGCTTAATGTCGAGTCGCGTTGTTTGTTGCAAAAGTTTTATACGCGCCGAAAGTTTCGACGAAAAATTCGCCTCTCCTCGCCGCTTTCGCGGCAATCTCGCGGAATCAATTTTGAGTCGCCTTTCGAGCTGCATGAAGACATTTCTCTTGCCTCCCCCTCCCCCCCCCCCCCCGGGAATTCGCTTCGTCGTATCACTCGAATTAAGTCGGTAGCGGCCGCGAATTAAAGTTACTCGTCGTACAAACTATTCTCGCTTCTCTTTTTCCTCATTTCCCCACCGGTGCAGTGTAAAGAAGCGATAGAGAAACGGCGCTCTCTCTCTCTCTCTCTCTCTCTCTCTCTCTCTCTCTCTCTCTCTCTCCGCTCTGCTTCGGAATCGAGTTTGTTTTCGCTCAAACGATCGGCGCATTGAGAATATATATTCGCACGGTAGTACTCGCTCGTGTCTGTATAAGCGTTACACGTTATTTTACACATAGCGAGCGACCGATACCGGGGGGCGGGGAAGGGAAGGAGAATAAGAAAAACACGATCCGACGAATATTAAGGGAAAGTTTCGTCGAACGACGGGTTATTTATTTTGCCGGTTTCCGTGTGGCGGTATGTCTAAAAATAGACAACGATACTGCCGATACCCGCAGTAGGTTTTTCGACGCTCTATTTTCGTTGGCGACGCCGACGATGTTTATCGTTATTCGAGCGTAACGTGCGCGACGTATCTATTCTTACCCATTTTTTGCTTTCTCCCCAAGGAGACAATAGACGCACACATATATACACACACACACACACACACACCGTGCTATTCTCCATTCTCTCGAGCAATTTCGGATCGAAAACCGAACTAGCGGCGTACGTTCCGTCGCTGCGGTCAAATATTTCCAATTCCCCGGGAAAAGCGTCGTCGTGCTGCGCGACTTTGTCGGACGTAGACGCTATATTGATTTCCATATAATTACGCTCGTACGTTGCGAAATAAGGCTGAGCGGCACGCGACGATTATACTAAAGCACGTTGGACAATGTGTAAATGATAAATTGAACCAAGATTGCGCCGTTCTGCAGTTCCTAGAATAATTTCGCGACTCTCTCTCTCTCACACACACACACACACACACACCATCTCCCCCCTCCTCTTTCTCTCTCGCGCGCGTCGATCATGCTTCGCGTTCTCTCCTTTTCTCCCCTCCTTCTTCGGCGTGGTCGCTCACCTTTTAATCGCCAGTCCCGATATAATTGTTGCCGTGTTATTGGTGTTATTACGTGGCGCCGAGAACAACGATCGCGCCTCCGTCGGAAACGTGTTTTAAATGGCCATTACGGAACGATTGATCCCGCGCGCACAGTGCGCGATTAATCTGCTTCAATCGCCGTGGCGCCGACAATGCGCGCTGAAAAATCGCGGCTCGCAACGCGAAGGAGAGACTATTTTCGCGCTCGCTCTCGCGAGTGTCTCGGCGCGTTGACGCGTAATGAAAGCGCTCGCGGATTAAGTGCGACAGATATACACGTTATCGCGATACGTAGACGCGATTGGATGTGACTCGGTGGAATTAGTCGTGCGAGAGAGAGAGGATCTCTGTCGAGCAATAATTACGAGCCAATTCTGCGCGCGCGCGCGCGCGTTCCGTCGCTCGGCACTTTGGCTCGGCCGGCACTTGAAGGTATTCGCCGTCGATCGGCGAATATCGGCGCGACGCGCGTCCGTTTCCGGGGTCCGCGAAAAATCGGACGTCGTTTGAGAGCGCGCGGCAGATCGCCGAAGGCGAGCGAAGGATGTGTTCGTTGTCAGCGGCATCCGAATTTTCAGCGCCGCGTGCTTTTACGAGGCACTTCGCTGGCAGGCGCCGAGCCGAATCGCCGCGTCGCGCCGGCGCGATCGACAGAAACGCGTCGATACGCGTCGCGCTCCCCTGCCTTTTACGTCGGCGGACATAAAATACGTTACCGCGAGCATTTTTTGCCTCACGCTGAAGCCAGCATACTTGCGATGAAAGTGTTTGCAAACTAGAAACTAGCGCCGTCGCCATCCGCCCCGTCTCCTCGTCATCGCCGCCGCCGTCGTCTCGTCGGCTAGGCGTGGTTATCGACGCGACTCGATTTCGCGCGTGCTTTATATCGCCGCGATAAATCGTCCGCTTTAATCACTCCGACCTGAGCGCCTCTGATTTCTCGCTCTCCGCGACATTCGGATGTCATTGGAGCGCGGTCGTTATTATCGTGTGTCATTAAATGGCTCGTCATGTCGGTACAGTCGGTGGAGGAACGCCTTCGCCCGCGGTCGCGGATCTTTCAGCGTCAGCTCGCCGAGAGGGACAATTCGTACAACTCGGAGGCGCGCATCTGGAAGTCATACTTGATCACACTCGCGAGTTGAGGCCGCCGCGCGCCGGAGGAAAGAGAGAGATTCACCCACGATCCGGAGTTGGATAGGCAAATTTATTCCTCGAGAACTTGCACGGGAAAGCGCGCACTCGTCCGCGCGTCGGATACGGATACGGACGCGCGCGCGGGCGGCGAAAGTCGCCGCGGAAAAATCCCGCCGCGACCTTTTTGCGCCGGCCTTTTTGCATGCTCGACGAGTGTCGCGACGAAACAACACAAGAGCCCGAGTGTTAGGCCGCGATGCGTGACTCGCTGCTCCAATTTGCTCGTTTGCCTCTCGCTCGTTTGCGCGCTCGCGAGTCGTTCCGACTCGTCGACGGGAAAACGCTCTCGCCGGCGATCGCTTAGCCGCGCGCGCGCGCGCTGATTCGGCCGGTCGGGTTAAATCGAGACGACGAGAGTCACCGCTCTCTCGTCGTCGTTGTCGTCGGGTCGTCAAAGGTTAGACAGCACGGATGCGCGCGGCTAACGACGACGACGACGACGACGACGCAACGTAACGCGGGACGCGGGCGACGGGCAAGAGGGAGAAAGAGAGGGCGACGCGCGCGCGACGAGAGGAGAGTTGTACGCTCCGTGAACCAGTTCCAACTTTATCGATGCACCCGCACTCTCCCGGGATATCGCGCACGGCCGACGAGCGCGCAAAAACGGCACGCGGATGAATAATTTATGACAAAGACGGTCAGCACTGGGTTGCCGGAGATATCCTCTCTTTCCCCCTCTTTCTCCCCGTCGCTCTTGAGCCCGCGTCGGACGACGACAACGACGAACGCGGACGCGCACGAATAATTAATCACCATCTATAGTAGGAATCTAAAGATAGTGTTGCGCGACTGACTGACGTGTACATATGGTCTTTGTTCCGCGGCTCGCTCGTGAAAAAAGGCACGCGGGCGATGCCGAGAGTTTTGCTCCGCGAGGACAGCAGGCCAGCCTGACTTGTATATGTGTGTGTGTGTGTGTGTGTGTGTGTGTGAAGGGAAGAGGAAAAAGGATATCTCTTTTTCCCCCCGCCGGTGAAAGTGTCGTTCGTTTCGCGTAAAGACACCCCGTGCTCGTTCCCTCTTTCTCTCTCGCTCTCACTCTTCAGTCTCTTTATCTGTCCTTTCTCGCGACGCTCGCCCACGCCCGCGTCCGTCTCTCTCTCTCTCTCTCTCTCTCTCTCTCTCTCTCTCTCTCTCTCTCTCTCTCTCTCTCTCTCTCTCTCTCTCCCCCCCCCTCTCCCTCTCCCCGTTCTTTTCGCGCGCGCGCGCGACTTGATATATCCGTGATACCGCACGATTAACCGACGTCGAACTGCGTGACAAAGCTCGATCAAGCTCTCGCTGGCTGCTCGCTCGATCGACCTTGCTTTCCTTGCTCGGAGTTCTCGTTGGAGCAGTCTCTCTTTCTCTCTCCTTCGCGATGTTGTAAATCAAACTGGAAAAGCCGCGTTACGAATGTCGATACGCGTGCAAGATCCGTCGCGAAATCACCGAGCTGAAAAATGTGTCGTGTCGGTGGACGA